CTCCTTTCTTCCCTCCTTTCTTCCCTCCTTTCTTCCCTCCTTTCTTCCCTCCTTTCTTCCCTCCTTTCTTCCCTCCTTTCTTCCCTCCTTTCTTCCCTCCTTTCTTCCCTCCTTTCTTCCCTCCTTTCTTCCCTCCTTTCTTCCCTCCTTTCTTCCCTCCTTTCTTCCCTCCTTTCTTCCTTCCGCCCGCCCTTCCTTTCTTCCTTCCGCCCGCCCTTCCTTCCCTCCTTCCGCACTTCCTTCCCTCCTTCCGCACTTCCTTCCTCCCTCCCTCCTTCCCTTCCCTTCTGCCTGTCTTTCTTTTCCTTATGCCACATTTATTTTATTTTTTTCAGTTCATAATTTGAAACCGGCAGATATTCAGGTGATTGCTGCCCTGGGAGATTCACTCACAGTACGTAAAGATCATTGAATAGCCATTGATAAAACTAGCAATGAAAAACTTGCAGTGAAATTTCTGATTTTTAACCTGGGAAACGGAATACAAACAGCTATGCCCTATTGAGCCAGACATGTTTTTGACATTTTTTTTTCCCCATACTCCACCTTGGCTGATTGGTAATTAGATCATGAGTCTAATCTGAGCACACGGTTCCCATTTCAAGTCCACAAAAGTGCACAAAAGGAAGAGATGTAAGATTAGATTGTGCAGCAGCAAAACTATTCTGCTAGAGTGGACTTGCAACAATTGATTTTTTTACTGATTTTTGACAGCTCCCATGGTATTGGCCCTAACAGCTATTAGTAAGCAGCATGAAGAGAAAAATTCTGCAGCTGATTGTGTATATCTGCGTATCTATATAATACAATAAATATATATATGATAATACCAAGGCCTTTAAAGCCATAGTAATTCATACTAACTAAATATATTATTAAAATTGCAATAGAACATCAGGTGTGTTGAGTGTAACTTGCCTTGAAAATTTTTTTATTTTAACACTATTCCTGGTACTATGACTATGTAAGGTCATTACTCCTAGACTGGTTGTGATTCTCTAATCAGTGGTGACTGCTTTACCACTCATATCATAATTTATGTTTCCTACATGTTCTGTGCAAATAATCACATTAAATCCTTGTAGTCTTTTTCCTTGGAGAAACTGGGAAAGACATAACATCACTCTACAAATTTTTTATGTGAAGACCATTATAATAAATTATTAATTCAGGACTACTGCTATCTTATTTATTCCTTATGTAAATTTAGAATTATATGAGTATTTTGAACATTCTCAAGTAATTTTTCTCCACTTGATCTAATCACAAAGTTGATAGAAGAGGGCAATTCACTGGAATGAAGTTAAAATACCTTAAGCCTTTGATCTTCTTGAGAACAGGGTTTTGTTCTGTTTTGGGAAGATGATGTAGCTTACTTCATTAATATGCTTTTTAATTATTCTCATTAGGATCAGTCAGAGAACTAGTTACTCTAGCAATGCTTGTTTTCTGAAGGTGAACTCTTCTTCTTCCAGGCAGCTAATGGGGCAGGATCCAAACCCAATGATGTTCTGGATGTCCTGACTCAGTACCGGGGTCTTTCTTGGAGGTGAGTCCCAAGAATTTTCTTCAGTTTTGATCTATATAGTTGTTATTGTAGCTAATGAAGGCTTGTGGAAACTGGATTTGATGTCACATTTTGCATGGTGGCACATGGCTGTACTATTACTCATGATAAAGAAAATACTCAGACTAGTGGTTATCTAGAGTACAATGTAGCATGGCTGGAATAGACCTGGGTACAAGGGAAAATGGGGTGTTTTTTTTATCTTTTCTTGATCCTTTTCCAGTAGTGCTTACATCACGGAGAACAGTTTATCAATTTTGACTCAATACAGACTTTTACATATGCAGCATATTGTTAGACACATCAAAAAGACTCTGGAGAAAGGCAGTCATGCTCACTTGTTAATCTGAAACTGTATGATTTAACACCAAACTTGTCAGGCTGATCTTCTGTTCATAATTTTTTACCATTCTAAGTCACTGCAACTTGAGAAGAAGGAGTTTAAACACATTCACAGAATCATAGAATGGCCTGGGTTAGAAGGCACCTTAAAGATCATCTGGCTCCAACCCCCATGGGCAGGGACGCTTTTCACTGGACCAGGATGCTCAGAGCTTCATTCAGCTTGGCCTCGTGCACTTCAAAAGCTGCTCCAGATTAAAGGGACACTATAGAGGTGTTCTAAGTCGAACATTTTATATTTTGATCTTTAATTGTAATCTATTGACATTTTTTTGCAACAAGTATACTAGTATTTTTTTTGGCATGAAGGAGAATAAAGAGCACACAGACATAATGATGAATTTCACCAGTCTAGTAGTGTTCTTCCAGTTGAGTGAAATGTGAGTGGGGGAAAGGCAATGGTATTGATTTTATTTATCACTATGAAATACATGCTTTTAGAACTTTTTGTTTTGGTTAGATTTGTTAACTAAAAATGGAAGCTAAAAATATTTTAATAGGTACAACTGTAGCAAATGTCGCAGCCTTGAAAAAAATCTCGTTTCTTTCAGCTGGGGTTGAACATATGCCAAAACACGTGAAAGAGCTGAAAGGATAGCTGCTGTACTGGGGTTTCTAATATGATTGTTCTGCTGGAGCTGAGAGCGTCTCTGATGTAGTGGCCCCCTTGGGACAGGCACCTAGAGCGTGGGTGGGCTCAGCACAGCCACCAGCGTGCTCCGTATATGTGTGGTAACCCAAAAGGGGGCACTCTCTTACTTGTCCATTGCCTTGCCGAGTCGTGCCTGACAGCACTTTTTTCCTGTTCTTTCTTTTTAACAGCATTGGAGGAAATGAAAACATAAGCACAGTCACGACGCTACCAAGTAAATGATTTTTTTCTGTAAATTTGATAAATACGTGGTGGTGTTTATTATTCGAATACTTGCTATTATGAAAGGAGACAGGAGAAAAGGGATAAAATCTGTAGCATGACACAAGCAATCCCTTTGTATTTAATGTCCACTACTGAATAAAAGTTGCATAACAACCAGGCTGTAATATGCTGTGCATGATTTAACTATTTATTTTGTAATTCGTAGGTTCTGGTTGTTTCAATACTCTTTTTTTGTTGCAGTTCTGTCTAAAATGAGTTTGGGATAAATTAATCAAAGATCTTAGCTCACAGCCTGAAGAAACTGTTTTGACTGTATGGGAAAGTTGTTTTAGGCGGGGGCAGAATCACATTACAAGATCAGATTTTACATGCTTTTTAAAGGTCAGGACATTTTAGATCTGAGGTTTTTGTAAAGCTGGTCTGTAACCTAAGATCTAGAAGGGAATCTGGGGTTTTTGGGGTTAATACATCTGGGGCCATCAGGCTAAAGGATTTGATTCCAACCTGTCTGCAGTTAAAGCATGATGGCATGAGGTTCTCCTGCCTGAGTAAATGGTTACCCAGCCTCTCTTGCCAGGCAAAATGGCATTGCTAGCCAAGATGGCTTGTGTTAGGTCATGAGGTATCAGAAACCATGAAATTCCGAAATCTTGAAGGCAGGGAAATGGTTGTATGGTGATGAATCTCCATGTTTATTATACTTAAAGGTTGATTTTTTGAATTTTTTTGTTAATTTTTTTATTTTTGATAGCTATCTCCTAAAGCTTTTAAACAATCTTTTACTAAAGTCTAACCTTTATTGCCTCATTTGTTACCTGCTGCAGGAAGCAATATTTCAGGGTGCTGTCTCTTTCTGCAGATATTCTTCGTGAGTTCAACCCATCCTTGGTAGGGTATTCCATTGGAACTGGAACACAAAATTCGAACAATGCTGCGTTCAACCAAGCTGTGACTGGGGCTCGTGCAAAGTAAGAGGAAAACTTTTAATTTTAATAGAAATTTGATTTTTTTCTATAAAAGTCGTTGTGACTAAAAAAGGCCCAAACCCTGGACTTTGGCAGGAGTACAGTAAGTCTAATAGGCAAAGATTTTTTAATCCTAACTGTAGCAGTCGGGCATGGCGGCACGGAAGATTTCAGGATGTAACAGAAAGTTAGTAACCCCCCTTCTCCACAGAGTATGGTAATGACTCCTGCAATTAGCCAATAGCACCTAGCTGTGATGAAAGCAAATGGGAGTAACACAGTGACCCTAGGTTATAAAATGTCAAATTCTCCTACAATAAACGCCATTTCTTCGCCATCCATCACATTGATGTCTTGTGGGTAGAATGGTCCGAGTGGCCAAGGGGGGCCACCGTGCTGGCTTCTGAACCAGGGTGTCTGCCTTGCTTGAAAGGCTACACCTAACTTTAGCATGAAGGCAAATAAATGTGATGAAGACTTAGCAATGTTTCTAATCTATATGTTAAATAAATTAGCAACAAAAGTGATACTTTCTCTGACATTTTCAGCCAAAAAAGCTACAGCATTTTACAAGCACTACTCAGAAAGCTGTCCTGTTGTGAGTCAGACAAAGGATATCTCCACTTTATTGGAGGTATTTTTAAACCCTCTTGTCATCAGGACCAAGAGTTCATGTAGAGATTGAGAAAATTTTGAATTGTTTAATACCTGGTCTGCCAGAGCTGGGAATTAACTAGAGACCACTGTGCATCATCTTCAGTGCAATTCATATCTTTTTTTTTCCACTGGTAAGAGTTCTTAGAAGACATTCTTCAGTGCCTTGAGGCCATATAATAACATGGGTATGAGCACAGACACTTCAGAGCTATGTCTATTGATAGCATCTGTCTGATGGTGGGAAAACTGCATTTTCTATATAGTTTGTAAAAGAGTACTATGCAGCATTTGCAGAGTAGCGCAATGCCTGTTAGATGCTAATTATTTTCCCTTTTTTCTTTTTCCATCACTGTCTCAAAACATAGCTTTGTTGACTATATCATATATTCTATTCAATGAAAATTTTACTTCCACTGGGGTTTTTGGGTTTCTGATGCCCATTCATCAGCTTTCCTCTTTGCCTTGTTATCTATGCAGGATTCTTTCCCTAAATTTTTATTAATTTATTTTTTGATTTTATTTTTAGGGATGTTCCTGAACAGGTTAGGAAACTGGTGGACCGCATGAAGAATGATAATGTGAGTTCAACATGTCATGAATATTTTTAGAATGAAGTGACATGGCATCATTAGTTTCTAACAGACCAAGAGCACATCTCAATAGTGAATGCCAAACTTCAGAGCTGTTTAAGGTACAGCAAGGTACAGCATAATGCTTTCCGGTACAGAGTGAGTCAGCACAAATAATCTATAGCTTAGTCTTAAATGAATTTGTATCAGTATATGATAGTTACTATCAAAGCCAGATAATTGTAACCTTTTCATCATTTTTACTGCAAGTGGCTGTAAATGCAGTGCTGTTGCTTCCACTTCCAACCTGTGCCACTCTGTAAGATAACATAACCTTGTCTCTGTGAGGATTTTGCTGTGGTGCTAGTAATTATCTTGTAAGCAGGTGGTTTTTCCAAAAATGATACGTGCTAGGATGTTGAGGGCAAGCTTTTCAAGTAGCAAATCATGTGGAGTGAACATGTAAACTGAGGAAGGGACTTGTTTTCTATAAAAACAAATTAGTCCCCTCTTTCATCTAGTCATCAGCTGATTTTTGACTTACACATTTATTGTTAGGAATTATTTGATTAATGTTCTGTAAAATACACATTAGGATGAGGATTGCTTGCATATTTCTCACCTCAGCTTGTGCTTTGAATGTTTGCTATTTGTAATTTGACAAATGTGCTATGTAATCAGTGACATTACATTATAATAGTTTGGCTTTCCAATTGTGTAGCTGAAAAGCAGCCAAAAAGCCATCAAGATACCTGTGTGCATGTTTGGTGTACTCTGGTGCTTACATGTTGGCAAAAATATTTGCAGTACCTTCCTTCTTGGTTCCCTTTACTGTCAACAAGATTTCCATCTGATGGATGCATCTGAAATGAGATTAAAAGGAGCAGCAACTAACAATGAAGGGTTAGATGGTTTTCATTCAAAGCTTCTAAGCACTACTCTGCCAAATGCATTGGCCTGAGAATGTTAAGAGAAATTAATAGAAATATTTTTTATTTAGATAATAAATGTTTTTGTATAACTAGTGAAGTTCTGTCTAGAAAGCATGCTCATAATAGAGATCATATATCTTTAATATAAGAGATCCTTTTTACCCCCATTTTTTAAAACGCTTCTTGAGTGCAGGAGGAAGTTCCTCCCTCTTTTTGATTTTTTTTTTTTTTTTACATTTTGAGACCAAACTACTGAACAGTGTGTTTACTAGCAGGGATATGTTGCCCCCTGCCTTTGAAGAACGATGTTTTTAAACCACTAGAGGCTGATGCACTATTGGTACTTTTCTTACTGGTGTTTTGCATGGACATTAAAGCATTAGAATATTGAACACAACATCCACAACATACTACTAAACATATCTCAACCTTTCCTCAAACCTGAGGTGTTTATGTACTGTACCATAATTACCTTGATTTAGCTAGCTATCCCTTTGCAAAATCCTTGCAGAAACAAAAAGTGCTGTTATATTTTACCATTATTGTTAGACAGAGTTAATATTGCCCCACTCTTCTTTGCAGTTTGTTTCACAGCAAGTCTGAAATATATTGTACCCCAGGGTTTACCAGCAGGATAGCTGTATTATTTATCACACAATAAAACACGTACCATAATTTTTGCTATGAAGATATATTTCTAGAACTGCAGAAAAAGTCACTCTGTGTGTGCAAGATATTACTAAGAAAAGCATATGGATAGATTTTGAGCAATAGTTTTCTGAAGCAAATAGTTTTCCATGATGCCATTGAAATCTGGTTTAGATCATGGCAGTTTCTACATCTTCAGTCATGACTACAAACTTATTTTTGTTGTGGATACCTAGGGAACAATAGCCATGTACTCTGAGAAATGGGAAATTTGTATTTACTATGTTGCTGGCATCTCCCTCGTTTTCTTTTTTTAATTAAAAACTTCTGTTCCATCTCCTTCTCTATGTAGAGAATAGATTTTCAGAATGACTGGAAGCTCATAACACTTTTCATAGGAGGAAATGACCTCTGCAAGTTCTGCGAGAATCCAGTAAGTTTCCTGCAACATGAACTGGGCCAGTTGAGCCACAGGGTTTTCTATGCATTGCGGGTGGTAAGGGGAAGGAACTCAGTGGGTGAGATGAGAATAGCGTAGGCCTTAATTGTGCAGCTCTAGAATGTAACTGTACTGAGACCTTCAGGTTGCTTAGCGTAATATTTTGATAACATTAGAGATACCTTTAGCACACCTGTAAGTTACAAAATTGTTGTGGCTTTGTTTTGCTGCTAACTCGGATAACTTTTTGTTGCATAGTCACTTTTACTCCTGTAGATAAAACTCCAAGTGTTTTTACACCTCTTTGCCTTGTCACGCTCCTAAGTCTTACTTGGTATTCTCTTAATATTTTCAGTGGTATGGGAAAAGTTCTAAGCACAGTTCGTGGTGATTCAATTATATGTGATATAGTGTGTATATATATATATATATATATATATATATATATATGTATGTATCATACGTACAGTATCTAGCCTTTGGTATGTGTGATTGTAAAGGAGGTGAAAGGCTGTGGCAGACTGCTCACTTAGTGATGAGGGCTACCTACTACCACAGGCAGTTGAGCACAAACTCATTATCCTTCATGATTAATTTTGGATCAGGAAGAACAACCAAGCAGCACAGTAAGATAGTTATAAAACAAGGAAGGAGCAAATTAACCATTCCTACCTTTTGCTGTCAACCCACAAAGTACATGTTCACATGACTGGGGTAGGTGGCGAGGAAAGAGTGTGTGTGCATCCAAGGATCACAGTGATCTTTGTGTCATACAAGTACAATTAGTGCCAACCACAGCACTCTTGGTGAGCTGTTACTTAGGAAATGAATAAGAGATCTGAGCTGTCTGTTTCTATAGAGTAGGCAAGTGAGGGTCTCAATGAACTTCTGCTTGAAATTAAATGAGAGAGAAAAAGGCTGAAAGTAAGACAGACATTTCTCGTAAAACGTTTACGTGACTGTTGTAGTCCCACAAGTGAAAAAAATAAATGTTGGATTACTTGAGACAATAAAATTAGAGTGTTTAAACAATTAAAATGGAATAAGGAAATTTTGGCACTGGAAGACAAGTGTATGAAATGATTTAATTCCCAGCTAAACAAGTATCTTCTGCCAGTTATTATTTGTGGCAGGCACAGAGAATATGGGAGATGTGTTCTAATATTCCATACAGCAGAAGTAAACTTACTTTTATGTAAAAGTGTCCATTTTTTAACCCCCAGGATCAGGATTAATGAGCAGAGAGACGGCTTTCATGTTCAGACTTAGGATGTTTATTTTTCTTATTGATATTACATTTTTACAGACAGTAAGCACTTCTACACACTAATCTAACAAGCTACAAGTGGCGACCTAGGGCTCCATCCACAAGCATAAATTTATCCATTTAAGCATAAATTATCCAATTATCAAATGCCAGCTAATTAATTTTTACTTTTAACCCAATGACCAAACACCTGTGTTCCGCACTGCGTACTTTTCTGTCGAATCATACAACACCACCCAAAACCATGAAGAAGGAAGAAAGGCAAAGAAAAGCCAATGCCCTAGAACCTCCATCTTGTCCCTCATTCACTACTATATCTCAAACTCTAAACTCTAAATTTTTCACCCAGTGACTTAACATAATTCTGTCTAACTCGCACATTCACATTCGCAGTTTCTCTACTTAGTTTTAGAAGCCTTCTCCATGGTCTTAAATGAAACCCAGTGTTCTCTCAAGTGTCTGAGCCTGTCAGCACAGATAAAGGGACATTTTCTGTCCCTGTCTGGGGCTCCAACAATTTACACAACTGTTCTCTCCCATATATGGCCCCTGTTTATGAGTTGTTAGCTGTGCTTTTAAGACCACCCCAAGCAAGCCTGGGAATTGAGAATGTTGTGATGTCTGATAATACCCTATGAATTTTCACCCTCACTGGTATCCAGTGGCTGCTAGATCTTTTCTTGCCATTGAGATAGGTGTGATGGGAAAGAAGAAAAGCAGAGACATGACCATTTTGCTTATGACTCTGTTACTTTTGACCTAAGAGTTAGAAACATAAACACTACTATGAGAGACTCCACCTAGTCATTCTTGTCCCTGCCTGAGCAAACTAATAATAAAATTCAACCCTCTTGCTTTAACAGGTACACCATTCTCCTGAAAACTATGCCTACAATCTACAAATAGCTCTGGACTTACTTCATAAAGAGGTAAATCAAACTTTTCTAGCATGTCTGATCAGGGATTTTGTTCCGTATTCAAAGCAGTTACTGATTATTGATTAAGAATTTATTTCCTTGCTTTCATCTGCAAAGTACTACTGTATGCAGAGGTGTTTGCTCACAGGAAATTCATTGTGAAAGGCAAAAAAGGCTGGAGAAGTTTTTACCAAAGGAATAAGGATATTCTTAGCTCTATCTGATGTGCTGTGGACAAATAATATCAAAAAATGTAATAACAAAGTGAAACAAGCATTATTAATTGACTAGCAAATGCTTTGCTTGTTCTTTAAACTGCAAATAATAAGTATATTTTTGTGGTCATTTAGAGAGAGATTCTGATATTCCACATAAAGAATGATGAGAATGCTCGAAGAGTTAGGAGGTGTCTGGGTCTTGCTGAGACTTATAACAACTTGTTTGGATCTTTTTGAAGCCATAATTTTCAAGTGACCAGCTATCAACTTTTAGAATAGAACTAGACAGTGCAGGCAGGGGCTGTAATTTAGTATTGCTTGTGTGGGGAATTAATTATTGAGAAAGTATTTTGAGCACCTCTGTTATAAATAATGCATGATGCTTGAATCAGCAGGCTGCTACCAAGGTCTGCTGTGGCTGTGTAGGGACAAAACACTGTGCTCCAGGAGTTTGCTATAGATTTGTTTGTTCTCTTGGCAGGTTCCACGGGCATATGTGAACCTGGTGATGATACTTCCCATAGCAAGACTCCGGGAGCTGCATGCATCAAAAAACAATAATTGCCCAAAAGGGCTTATGAGGTTTGCAGATGCTTTATGTTACAGTTCTTGTTGTTGTTCACAGAAGGCTGCAACATCTTCTTGGGAAGTTTTTTCTTAAAGGGATCTAGTATTTCATACTACCAAACATCTTTCTCAGTACATGTATGTGTACTTAGATTTTGATTTCAATGCAGCATTTAGAATAACCTGTCTCTGTTGCTGTCTCTGGATCTGAGCACTGCTGTTATTGCTTCTTATGAAATATTAATATCTTATTATATTCTTCTTTGACTCTGTACTTTCCCTGCAAGTGAATTCAAGCCTGAGCAGAGAAAGCTCAGCTGGGCACTCTTTGGTGAAAATAGAGAAGACACTAAGACACAAGGTTTCCTAGTTGTATTTACAGATTTACTTTTCTGCACTTAAAACTCTCCCTCTTGTTTCTGCAATTTTCAGTCTCTATAATCTCATTGCTGATTATTAGTTTTATCTCTAACTAGTGTCTCAAGTAGATGTTTTGGTTGCTTAATTGTACCATCTGTTGCTCTATGGTTCAACAATTCTTTTTCAGATCAGTGTTAGTTCACTACTGAGGTGGCAGGTCTGCACCCTGAGTGGACTTCTGGTGACTCAAATGGGGTCCAGCATTGTCCTCTGGAGTTGCTTCTGTCAGGATTTGCTTGTTTTCAGAAAAGCAAGTCTGCTTTTCTGGACAGATGATGAGAATATGTCCTGTGAATGTAGGCAGCCACTGCTTCCCACTCCTGTTTTACAGGAGGTACAGAGGTTAAACCCTCTTGCTGTGATATAAGGGCTTCCTTGTGGCTGTCAGTGGAAAATTGGTTTTGAAACTCAGGGTGCTGGTGCTCCCAATAGCCAGATGTAGTTATTTTTAAAATTTGTTTGTTTGTTTGTTTGTTTATTTTTAACAGAGGTTACTGGCTAGAGTACACAGGTATCTCAGGGCCCTATCATTGGGCAAGGATAGTCAGTGAAGCTTTTAAGATTATATTATCTTACGAAATCTGTATCTTTCCCCATCATTTCAGGTGCTATGCTGAATTTGACATTTGCTTGTCTGGCAGCAAGCCAAGTTTACAGGGTGATAGACAGACTCCATGTGGGATAAAAAATGTCCTTCTACTAAGTAGACAAAGAACCTGAAGGAGGATTTTGATCTTGAAAGTCTTCCCTTTTTTTTCCACGAGTAGCAAACAACCTAAAGAGAAGATGTATCTATTAATGTTGCCTAAAATATGTTTCTGAAATTTCTGAAAACACAATTTAGATTTGTATTGTTATCATACAGATGTACTGTGGAAGTTAGCTTTTGTTAATTGGTCTCCATTATGACAAGTTTGGACATGGTAGGTTTCTGGGTATATTTTACATGTATCATCTGCATCTCTATAGGAGGTATTTCTCTAAGAGCTCTCTCAGGGATGCTTTACTGTGGTCACATGGTCAGGATTTTTGAAAGGAGTCCTTTTTCTAATTTGGATTTCTCAAGTAGTCATGGGGCATGCCCAAGAAGATGGAACATTCTAAAAATATCGATGTGCTAGAAAGATCAAAACCTCATAGGTTTTGGGATAAAGGTGGACAACATGAGTTCACAGAATCTTAAAATGTCTCAGGTTAGAATGGCTCTCTAAGCATGGAGAATTCTGCATCACTCCTGGTGATTGTTTTGGTGCTGTACCAGCCTTGCTGTGAAACATACTATAACCTCTGACTCAACTGATTAGAATGAATTTGTGGCAACTCCATCTTGAATGATCCTTGCACAGTTCTGCTGGAGTAAACCATGCTGCACAAGTGTACTTATGAATAGTTTTTTGTGGTGGGCTGGCCTCAGATGCCAGCCAAGCACTCCACACAGCTGCTCATTCACCCCATTCCAGCAACATGGGGAGAAAACAAGGAGTATGAGCAAGAAAATTCATGGGTCAAAATAAAGACTGGGAAGCCACTTACCAAGTATCATTGCAGGCATAACATACCAAATTTGGGGAACTTAATTGTATTTGTCATCCATCAGCATAAACATTTAATTACTGATTCGGGTATTGGGAAATGAACAAAGAAATTGAACAGTTAAAGCACCTGTCCTCCCTCCTTCTCAGGTTCAACTTTTCTCCAAGCATCTCTTCCCCCACCCTTGTTGCTGCTGCAGAGTACCCTCAGTCCCTTCAGTGAGACATGGCTTGGGGTCTGGATCTGGTATCTCTCTGCCACTCCTTCCTGCTCACTCTTGTCCTGTGCTCCAACACGAGTCCTACAGTCTTGTGCATCCACAGGCTGTGGTCCCTTCCAGAAGAGTCCCTGTTCTGTTATGGAGCACCTTTCCCTTGTACCTGCTGTTGTTCTCTCCTTTCCTTCTCTGGTGTTTTCTGCCCTTTTTTAGGTAAGTATTCACAGAGACCACCTCTCTTGGCTGAGAGGTTCAGCCATACCCTGTGGGTGGTTTTCAGGAGCTGCGTCCAGAAAACGTAGTCCTGGCCCCTCCTCACAGGGATTGCTCCTGCTGGTGAAACCTTGCCATGGGCACACAGTGTGCTTTTTGCTTGCACGGAAGCTTTTCCTCACTTTCTGTTCATTAATTTAGCCCTAATAAATGTGTTTCTGCTCAAGAACTGGGGCTATGAAGAAACTCAGGGGTGGGAGGTTATGCTCCCGTTCAATGCCCTTTCAAAGAAATCCCTGTCAGAACTTTTAATCCTGCAGCTTGTCAACTGGGAAACAAGGGAAGAAAAGAAAGAGCAAATCTCAGTGCCATGCTCTTATCCCACAGGATCCTGTGCCCTTGTGTCATAAACCCTAAGGACAATTCCTATGACTTAAAGAAGTTGATCTACTTTAACAAAAAGTATCAGGTAAGGCACATTGCATTAGTTAGAAGTTTAATGTCATCCTTCTGTTGATCAAGGGGACCATAGGTAGGCTAATTTGAAAGCGGGGGACAGTTTCCACTCATTTATTTGTACTTGCGATTACAAAAAGTAGGATTAGCACCTTTACAATTCTGTTTCACTAAACCCACAAAACATGAGAAGAATTTTTGTTACAGGGCCATAGAAAGCAGAGTATGTTGGAGAGCCAGCAGTTTTTTGATCAGTTATGTTATTGAAAATCAGGTTAAGTCAAACAACACAGTAACTCAGGAACAAGTTTTCAGCACAGCATGTCAGCCAAACCAAAAACACTTTGGTGGTTCTGGAAGGACATCTTTTTGACAGAAAACCTAATCCTTGTGCAGTCTGTATCAGTCACGTGTCAGCCATCCCCAGGCTGCCTTTTTGCAAAGAAACCCGAGATGATTGTCTCAAAAGTGGCTGCATTGGCTGCCTGGGACAAGCTGAAAACCATCGTCATGTCTGAGCTTCTGCAGGAGGGAAGGGCAACCCCTGGATGAGGTGTAAATGGATGGAATAGCTTGATGGAAGGAACAATGACCACTTTTCTTTGACTCTTTAGGAGACAACCCGCCAGTTAGTGGAGAGTGGAAGGTATGATACAAAGGATGATTTCACAGTGGTTATGCAGCCATTTATGACTGATATGGAAATGCCAAAAACACAGGTAAAACTAACAAGAAGAGCACACCTATGTTAAATCCTGATGCAATGCCACTGACTTGTCAAAATTGTTTTAGCTGTAAATATAGCTAGCAGTTTCCTGACATAGTAATTAATTATTATATTCAGTTACCATCCAAAATTGCATAAAATGTTTATGGAATATGAGACAATGGGCAACAGGAATACAGACCTTGATCTGGGCACTGCAATTGGACAGCCATGAAGTAAATATTTTAGTTCAAAGTCTTTATCAGTAAGCACTTGCTTTACATTCCCTATACATCAAGTCCTTTACAGAACTTTGGTAAATTACCTTTGGTATAAAAACCTATATGTTTCAAAGCACCATAACATGTAAATCTCAAGGGAAATACAGAATACAATTGATATATGTGTCCAAGTATTCTGTACTCAGAGTCACAGTACTTTGTATTCCTTATTACTTTGGTAATAGTATATTAAAGAGTTTTAAAAAGCTTCTTAGTTCTGAGTTACTAGCTTTTCCTGGCCTGGTTTAATTCTATTTGCCTCAGAGGCCTTTGCAGATAGTTTGTTTAGAAGTCAGCTGGGTTATCTCACTAGAAGAGAGAAGACAGAATGTACAGCTTGTTACGTATTTGCTGCCTCTGTGACAGCACCTATCTTGTTTTCTAGGAGGGGTGGCCAGATGCTTCATATTTTGCCCCAGATTGTTTCCACTTCAGCCAAAAGACGCATTCCCAGGCTGCACGTGCTTTGTGGAACAACATGGTAAGATTTTTAAAGGTTGTGTTTGTCTCTCCTTGTTCACTTTATCCTGCCCTTGGCAGCAAACCCCCCCCAGAGATCTACTAGGTAGCCATATCTCTTCTGAATTGTGTTTACAAAGGAAAAGGGTGATCATATGAAGAAAGGTCACCTGAATTGTTAAACTAGTCATATCAAACAGTAAATCTTGGGGTATGTTAAAGCTGGCTGTGTTAAGGCTGCGTCTCTCAGGAAGATGACGCCTGCTGGGCACATTGACCAGCAGGCCACATTCCAGGTGTATGGGAGTTAGCCTCTTCAGCACATAAAGATACGGTGTGTGGGGGCAGTTGCCAGCATTGGTGCCATGCCCTGCAGTTGTCTTGCTGTGCTGCAGAGGTGGTTTCATTTCAAAATCACCCATTGCTCTCTTGTACTCATCTGCTTTTTCTCTGTGCATCCCCTTTCCTCCCCCAGCTGGAGCCTGTAGGGAAGAAGACAGATAGTCAGCACATAGAAGATGAGATTATCCTCAAATGTCCATCCGAGGTAAGTTACAAGGGTGTTTGTGTTTATGTGGAGGTCCTGGGGGTCTGTCTGAGCCTTTACCCAGTGCCTAGAGCTTTGTCTCTGTGAGAGTGGTTTGCTCCATCCCACACAGTTTATGCCACTGCCACCGAGAACACTCGCCCAGGAGATGATGGAGGGCAAGCAGGAGTAAACTTCCTCATGGTCACACATCACAGCTGGCCAAAACACAAAGGGTATTTGGCCTACCTAAGCAAGATCATCAAGTATCCACACTGAATGGCAGAGCTTCAGTGGAGGGAAACAGTGCAATGATGCTACCAGTCAGCATAGCTCTGCAGGATTCACTTGGAATACCTTGCAGTGGGGCCACAAGCCTCTTGTGAACCACACACAGAGGGGTCCTGAGTGTATTCTCTATCTTCTGTTCTAAAAATATAACCCAGATTTACACTGTTGCTACACAGGTTTTAAAAAGGCTTTTTATTTATTTATTTATATATTTTTAATCCCTGGGTCTTATTTGCATCAAGCTGCTAATCATCTATAGATATCTGAGAACTGAAGTTTGGGGAATGGAAATCTCTGTGTGCTCCTCTGATGCTTTGCATTGATTCAGATTGCCTTGTTTTGTAGGCTGAGCCATTCCTGAGGACATATAAGAACAGTAATTACACATACCCTAACCAAACTCCAGTAAGTGTCAACATCACCATCCCAGTGTTACTCTGCTGCATCTGTTTCTGTATTGTAACCAAATGAGTTATGTTCTGCAGCACAGGGGAAATCAGTCTTTGGCCAAAGGGGCCTGGGAGGTTGAGTGCATGGCACAGAGCAGGGAAGTACTCCCTGAATTAGACAAAATGCATCAGAAAACACCTGTAAGAACATGTGCTCAAACAGCACTGTTATCAGTACAGGATGCTTCACTCTTCTGAGTTCTTCTGACTCATCAGTCATAATTGAATATTACTATAGAACTGAGCAACCAAGACCTGTCTAGTTAATTACATGCTAAAGTGGTTCCAGTTTATCCACCTGGCCTCTGCTGGGAAGATCCTAGTTACTACTGACTGTATTTGTAGCCAAATGCTGTTCAGCTTTCTTTTTCTCTTTAGAATTATGGAAGCCAGCTGCTATGTGAGGACAGGTCTCCATCTTCCCCTCCTGCAACTTCAGGTAGTCTTTCCTGTTTTACATTAAGAGGTTGAATTACCTTCAGCTGTCATTCAAGATGAGTGTTAATTTTTTTCTCCTGAAATGGTTGCTGGACTGTGAAAAACATTGCTCAGAAAGGATGTCATGTTTTTCAGCAGATGCTTAACAGATACAATGCCACATTGTCACACAAGGTAGCATTCTAAGTAGCTTCACTGAACTCATTGCCAGTGGAGAACTTCAAAATAACTTGTGATAAAATCCAAATTTGAGTGCTGACGTAGCTTGTAAGCTATTCCACCTAAATGTCATGGAAAGAAACGGGAAATACAGGTTCATTCATGTTACTGAATTTAGCAGTATTTGCTCTTTCAAATAACTTCATATTGTCATTTCCTGAGTCTTTCTATATATTGTGCTGTTCCTGCTTTGTGTAATTCTGCATTGTTTTACCTTCAGTTTGGTGCTGGATATTGTTTGCCACTTATTGTTATTTGCTCCTTGCTCTTCTGTCCTTTTGGTAGCGATGTTAACCACTGTAATACTGAATAATATGCATATGTTGGTGCTGCAATCACAAGAGATGAGCTGGAAAGGACTTCTGATTTATCACTTCAGTATTGCAAAAACAATGTGACAGAGCATCACAATGCATAGTGACATATTTCACATACACAGTAGAGAAAAAAAATAGTTATTTCCTAATAAGGTTCAACAGTATCTCTTTCCTTTGCAGTGCATTCCCTAAAGCCAGCTGATGTGAAAATTGTTGCAGCCCTTGGGGATTCTTTGACGGTAAGAAGATAGCTTTTTTACTGTTCGCTTGGTAAAACAACAAACATGTGCCTGCTCCAGTGGAGGGGAAATAGCTATTGTACCCAGAAGCAAAGATCTGTCCATTCATGGATGATAATAGATCTAGCAGCTAGATTAAGAAAGAAGGTGTCAGTCTTCCAATGCTCTGTTCCCCTCCCCCCCTTCACATGCTTTTGAATTCAGGCAAAAACACAGGTAAATCCTTTAAAGAGGTGCCTAGATAGTTTGCTGAATTGAAGGCAGAGGAGATCAGATGCTGTTGAAATGAATGGGACATAGCACAAGGCTTAAGTTACTGTGCTTTTCAATGTTTTTTCCTGAATAGGAATGGACTGATGAGCCTGTTCTTCAGCCTTGGTTCTTTCAGGAACAAAATGCAACAAAATGGTGTTGGATAATAGCATTTTAATGATTTTAGCATTAATGAGATAAGGAAGCATGGGGTGAGAGCCCTCTGGCTCAATGCATTTCAGAAGATATTCAGTAATTTTATTGTGCCTGTTTTAACTCTTAACTGATTATTTGATCACAATACAGTTCTTGCTGCAGATGACTATCTTTGGTAGTCAAGAAGGAATATATTTCAAAATCCAGACACCCTATATTCCAGTTACGCCTTTCTGCCTTATGTTTTCATACTGGTCGAAGATTGAAATTCTATATCCAGGTCAAAGAAAACACTGGACAGAAAGATGTTATTAGAACATAGTTTTATCTGAATCTGAGCCTTAACAACAAACACATGTGTACAAACCATGAGCCCTTTACAACTCTCTGGCAGACGTGTTGCTACAACTCCTACACACAGGATGCTACTGAAATAAATAGAAGCACTTTGATGTAAACCTGCAGTGTTAACAAATAGAAGATATTCTGTATATGGTTGTGATTGCTGTAGAGCCCTGCAGGTCTTTCTGCTTCTAAGTGTAGTCTGTAGGAATAAAATCTGCTTTCATAGAACATTCAGTGGTGTATTGCTGTCTCAGAGCTGCATTTGGGCTGTGCATAGTTATTCTGAACACCAACCTTCTGTTATTTCAGTGAAGTTTATACACAGAAAAAAATGTAGTATTGTGGTTTAATCTAAGGTAGCAGCAAATAGGCTGCCTGGTCTTGTATGGTACTGAAATATTAACTTGCACCTAGATTTAGAATGAAACTATACAATCATAGCTGTCAGGAACTCTGCTTCTGAATTTTGGAGGTGTTTTAGAAGGGTAGCTTGCCTCTTTCTTCAGGTTAAGTGTAGAGAGTGCTTCCTCCTTGCTCCAGTTCTGCTATAAATCTTTCAATTTAGCACAATGGTTTTCAAACTAGAGTATATGAATTATGGTGCTTCTTTCTTATACATACTTACTTTCTTTGCTGAGTTCATGTAGTGTTTCATATCATTAGCCAGAAAGTTTTGTGTGTTTGATTGAGATGTTTTCATCATTGTTGAGTAATGTAACCATAACAGAGTTAGTTAGCTCATCTAGACCCATGTCTTTGTTCCACAGCTCCATCATACATTGTGTGTCATTTATACAATATGATACTTGTAAATAATTATGAAAGGTATTGTTGTGTTCTTCAGGAGAAAGGTTTGGGAAAAGCCAGATACCTTTTAAAGCTTTATAAGACATCCACTCAATTAAAAAGTAAATAAAACAACCATGTAATTCTGTTTAGATTAGTAAATTGTATTTGTTTATGTATTTGTATTACAAGTTACTATTGCATTAGTAACTGTGCTTTTATTTTATTTGGTTAATGAAAAATAATGTCTAGGCTGGCACAGGAATTGCCTCAGGTACCCTCCAGGATATGACCACTCAATACTGGGGACTGTCTTGGAGGTAAGTCTTCAGCCAAGAGATGTGTTTTGGGTCTCTCAGCTGTCAGAAAGCTGAAAAAAGGTTACTTCTCAGGCTAGCATTTCTTGAAATGTTGAGTGTCTTGAAGGCGTATCAAGATCCAGCATTTGTCATTAGGGTAGCTTGACAGAAAGCATTTTCAGCAGTGGATTTTAAGCAAGCTTTTTGATATCTCTCATGCTTTCATTTTTGTCTGCCTTTTGTCTGCCTGCAACTGTTTGTATTTTTATGTTGGGATGTCAGGTTGGAAATCTACAAAACAAATTAGAACTGGCTGGTTTTAGGACTTCTTCTCAAAGTTTTCTATTTCTAAACTTTTTGTAGTGTCATGGAAAATTTTTTGGCCAGAGAACTTTTGCCACATATAGCAACAGACAGTCATAAAAGACTAAATTGTTTTGCTGTTGTGATATAGCTCTACTGATATTGACTGAAGCAGGTCTGTGCTGTACTAAAGCCTCTGTGTAAGCTGGAGTGTGGCCTCAGTATGTCCTGTCAACACAAAAGCTGGAGAAATTTATCCCTGTACAGAAAGCAGGAGCAAGAAGCTACTGCTGAAGTTCTCTTGTCATTCGAGGGCTGTGTTTGGTGTTGCCTTAGAGGAGCTTCATGAGGCTGGAATGGGCCTCAAAGTTGACCTTCTAATCTGCAGTACTTAAGGCATGATCATTGGAGTATGAAGCTATGTCAAGCATTTTTCTACCACTTGCTAAATGATTGACTATACCCCTGTACATCTGCAAGAGCATTAAATCTTTCTGATAAGCATCTTCACCACTGAAACCTCACCTATTCTCCCCAACAGCACTTCCACTTCTGTCCTCTCCATGGATTCTGATAGAATGATAGTTACCAAATTAATAACCCTTTGCTTTTCCTCATGATGTGTGCCAGGTTTTCACTTTTTTCATTGTCTGTGTCCCGATAAGAGATGAATCACTGGGATTTTTCTTTCTCATTTTAGTATTGGAGGAGATGAGTCGTTGGAGAATGTGACAACTCTACCTAGTAAGTAAATGCTTTGCTAGATATAAATGGCAAGATTGAGGAGATGCAGTGGACTCATTTCTGATAGATTTATAGAAAGCTTTTAAGTATCTCAAAGCTGCTTTAGTGTAATTAACAAGAACTATCTTTAAAAGAAAGAGTATCCTACAATTAAAAAATAAAAAGTTGCCTTCATCAGTGAAGCTGAGAGCAGATAGAAATTCCCTTACTTTCTTTTCCCTCTCCCTTTTCAACTCTTTGGTGAGTAGTATTTGAATTTCTAAATAACCTTGCTATGTCCATGCTCTTGATGTACTTAACATTTGCTTTTAATAAATATTCCATCACAAATTTTCCAAACAAAATATTTGCATAGAGTAGACCTCTTCGGTAAATAAAGCTGCCTCATACATGTAACCTGAAAGGAATTTTAACTTTCTCTTCACTGAAACCTGCAATTTTATATAGCTCAGTCTATTGTTAATGTAAAGCCACTCGAGTTTCAATTTGGATCAGCTGTAATAATAAACTTCCATTTGAAGAGGGCCAGTAAACTGTTCATTTGTGTGTTGACCATTGTTTTAAGCAGAATGTAACAGGAGTATAATTAGAATAAGCAATTATTTGATTCATTGAGTTCTATTACATTTGATAAAGCCCTATTAAAATGTGGTTAAGCTCAGTCTTTGAAGCAGATTTTATAGTTTACAATATGGTCATGTTCACTCTCAGCTATAACTTACTCTGTCAAGTTCTTTTGGAAGCTACTATGGAGAACATGAGAACCATGCATCTGAGGCATTGTTCTTCATATTTGTCAGTAGTATGAGGTTTTGCCTAGCAGTGAAGAGACCTAGATGCTTTAGCTGAAGAGCAGCTCTGGCTGGGTTGAAAGATCCATCACACTCCATAAAGTCAACATCATATGACTGAGAATTGTATTTTAGGCTTTAACCACTAAACATGAGAGAAAACTGCATACAGTAGTCCTCAATTCTGCTCATCTTATCTGTTGGTGTCAGTGCAGGGCACTGCAAGCACACTGCTGTCTGAGTCACTGCAGATGGTGATCCCTCTACCCACTGCTTAGTGAATCCATCTAATTGACCAGCTGCAGCTGTCCTGTCAGAGAGAAAAACTGTGGCAGTGCTGGTGTGTTCTAGTCCCTGTAGACAGGGAGCAGCTGGAGTCTTTTTGCCTTCATTGCCACCTTTGTTTTTCAGACATCTTTCGAGAATTCAATGTTATGATCATGGGTTACTCAACTGGTGCCAAGGGTGAGAATGATTCCAATGCATTCCTTAACCAGGCGGTTCCTGGAGCACAGGCTGAGTACGTAGCTTTTTGTTTTACATTTGCAGGTGATGGATGCTTCATCTAATTGGCTTTCAACTGTCTCATGTGCTGTCACAACTTGCTTTAAAGAGCAAGCAAAACCGGTTGAGTTAGAGTAGAAATTGGCTCAAGACATGTTAAACATATGGATTTATTTCAAAACTGGACTTTCAAATGAAACCAGCAGTCCTGATTATGAAATCCACAAACAAGAATCTGGCAGAAACAGTTTTGAGGTTTCTACTCTTCGTGTTCAACATCTATTCATTTATCTATTTATCAGTCAATAAATCTCTGAGAATGTGAATGTTTTTTAGAAATTAAACATGTAAGGAACTGATAAAGAGAAACTAGGAATAAAACAGGATGAAATCTTATGTAATTCTGGCCTCAGGTTTCTGGATAAGCAAGAAGGAGCGGACAGGAGAGAGATGGGGAAAAACCAGTTTGGAATCTTAAGAAAAGAGAATTACTAATAGTAATACAGGGGTTTTGGTGTATTGCAGACCTGGTGCAGTTGGAGCCAGTTCTTCCAACTTAATAAGGATTGTAATGTCTTGCAGTCACCTGTATTTGGCTCTTCGCTTTTAGTGACACCTGGGAAGCTGAGTGAGTTGAGCATTGCTATATTGCTTATCCTAGAAATCCCTTTATTCAAAATCAGTGCTGTTTAATTAACAAAACAGATGGCTGCTTGAATTCAGTCATAGTTTGGGCACAGAATCTGGCAGACCATACCTGGATTTGACATTGTGAATTGCTGTTACCCAGACCTTAAGTAGTTTGTTTAAAGAAAAATTCATCTTGCTTCCCAAAGGAGTCTTGGAAGTGAAGTTAAGAAGCCAAGAGATGTGTTTGTGTTTGCTATATCTAAGCAAAGATTATTAGGATTCATCAGGGTTTTTTTATTGCTCTCCTGGAGGCCTTGTGTAACTTCTGACTAATTCTGCTAACCTTAGTAAATACTTGGATTTCCTGACAGAAATAGGGTGCTAGGTCCCCTGCTATATTCTACAGCCCCCACAGAACTGAAAGAAGGCATTTTTTTACCTGATGATGACTGAATGTAACTGTGTATGTCAGTGAAATGTGCATCAGCCATCAATGAGTATTTATTAACATACTGTATGCAGCATATATCCAGTTAACTCCAGTTTTTGCTTGTTTCTTTTTGCACAAAAGAAAGAGGGGTGCCTGTCTCATATTTTTTATCAGCTAAATCCTAAAAGAGTCTTTTTGTTTTGGTGGGAGGACTTGAAGCAGGATACAGAGTCTAAGTCACCATTATGACTCGAGGCAGCTTGTATCAGCAACTGAGGCATTGCTATTAAATAGCTATTTGTTAGCTGTTTGAAATCAGTTGATGGATGCTAGTCTAATGAAAATTGCCTACTTCATCTATACCAATTAGTTTTCTCTCTTCCCCTGCAAGTGACTGGACTGGATAACATGATGAAATAGAGCTGTCTTTGTTTTGTAACCATGTTTTGTAAATATTCAGCAAGGAGACACAGACAACAATCATGCCAGATTTCTGCTTGTCTTCTGTTGTTTCTCTATCTCATAACTCTCTGCAGAAAGTTATGCAAAAGTAAAGTCCTGTAAAATACTATCCCTGAGCTCTGAGATACTTCTTTTGGTGTTCTGTTCTATGTTTTGGCTCTTGATGTACCTGAGAAGATTAATTCATCGTAGTCAAGCATTGAAATGTATTGCAACATAAGGAAACGTTTCTCCTGCTTTAGGTATTTGGCCCTGGAATGATGATGCAATCAGCATTTATTCTTCATCAGCCCAAACCACCCATTTTCCAGTGATTCACAGGGCAAAAAAAGTCCATCAGCTACTGCTGGTATTTAAGAACTGTTGTCTGGCTTGTCTTGCTCTATGGTGCTAATCTGGAAAGTGCTTTCCAGAGGTGCTGGGACATTTCTGAATTCAGATAATTTTCCAGCCTTACCACCTTATAGAAGCCAAGTGTAAGGGTTTCTTAAAATGTAATCCATGGCTGATTTGAAGTGCTCTTTATTGAACTAGGTGAAAATGTAGTAATGCAGATCTCATACATCAAAGTGTTCCTAAGCCTATCTGCATTTGTTGCCAAAGTGCTTAAGTATGTACTAGATTTAAGGATAGATCTGAATAATGTTGCTGAAGCAAAGCCTGGCTGAGGTCTCTGATTTCATGTGGGGGAAAAAAAAAAAAAGACGTTAAGAATTTAAGAGTGAGAGGAGAAAACAGTTGACAGGAATTGTGAATATCTGTATTTTCCCCATTAGCAAACTGTTTCCATTGGTCAAGATCTAAATTTGGTTGAAACTGCAGTACGGGCAGTTTCAACTGCCACTGGCACTACTTCATTCAAGATGTTATTGGACCTTGCTGACTGCATTGGCTCAGGATGCATCAGCACCCCACTGATTGTATGAGAAATCAAATATGTTGTGGACTGTCAGCTCAATAAGTTGTGTTTTCCTCTCTGTCAATATTGAAGATGATGTCCTAGCTTAGGGGTTTCCACAGTAAGATCATGAGAAATTGTGACCACTTGTGGCTTGTGATAGCTTTGGGATATAAATAAGTAGGTCATTACATAGGACAAGGGTAATAGTGATAAGAACTACTACATGTACACAGTATCTGTGTCACAAGTAGATGTATGACAGGGCTCATTCCTCAGTAGATGCTCCCATGCTAGTGATAGATCAGTATTCAGCTGGACAAAGGTGATGAGAAACCTCTCTTCTTCCTACAGTAAATAAAGGATTGCAAAGGGAACCTGAACTTTGGTTGCTATACAAAACAAGTGTCATGCTTATTTATGTCAGTTGATATGCTCCCAGAAATGATAGCTAGCCAGTGTCTTTAACAAGAGCCTGGAGGGAGATGCAGCTCATTTTGAACCACAGACCTGCCTGGAAGGTCAATGCTTTCTGACCCCATTCCTCTCCCTCTCCTCTGAAGACCAACCTGTCAGGGCAGTCAAACAAAGCTGAAGCATTCAGCCTACGAAACTCAAAACTCTTTGCACTTTAGATATCTATCTGTGTGTATATATATATATATATATATATATATGTGTATGTACAGAAAAGAGAGTCCTCATCTGGCTGTTGGAAAACAGCAAGGCTGTCACCTTAATTTGTCTGAGTCATCTTGAAACTTTCTTGGATTTTTAATTGCCCTGAAAAAGTGGTGTGCACAGAGCTGTTTCACACAGTGTGTAGTTATGTACTGATTCTGGGTCCAGGCTACAAAAATGAGGAGGGTGAGCTCTGAAACCTATGTTTTCCAAGGACATGTTGCTCAAGTGGTCAGCTGAGTATTGAGACTGGGGATTCCCTTGTTTTAGTCTACAAGGAATAGACTGATAGCAGCCTAGCTCTGCAGAGGCTCTCTGCTTACAACTGTTGCCATATCTGGCTTTTCAGCAGTTTTGGGTGCTAAACACTGTGACAGGAGCTGGACTTCTGGTTCCAGATTAATAACTGAACTTGAGTAAAATCTGTATTTAAGTTTGATTTGATGTTGATTTTATTACCAAATGTGAACCTGTAATTTGATCACAGCAACATGAGTACTGTACTGTGTCCTCATTCAGCCCTTCTGGTATCTGACAGCTTGATTTGAGATGTCTGAAGCATGGTAATGTTGTTCTGTCAATACAGGTGTTATTAGAACTCACTAGTTATCCTTCTTTTCAGGCACTTGCCAGCCCAAGCAAGAAGTCTTGTGAGTCTTATGAAAACTGATCAGGTAAATTTTCTGGGATTCCTGTAAAGTTACAGCATGAATAGGAATAGATGTTGCTTCACACAACAGATCCCCCGTCAATTACACCATGTGCATATCACAAAGTTAGAGAAATTCAGACTCATTATTTTCTTCTTTATTGCACAGAGAATTGACTTCAGTGCTGACTGGAAGCTCATAACAGTGCATATTGGAGCCAATGATCTGTGCAACTATTGCAAAGACCCTGTGAGTAGTGGTACTGGTTATCTGAAGCTGTGGTGTCAGTATAGAAACACCTCAAGAGAAATCATAAAGCCTTCACGGAGATAACATGAGTTATATATGGGCTGCTGTATGTTTTGACAGGGGCTGTTGCTGGCAGTACCCTGATATAAAAACTTAGCAGGAAAAGATTAGGATGGTTTTCTCTGGCTAACTCCAGGATAAGAACCACTGGTTTGGCCGCTGTTTTTTGACTGTGAGCAAAAAAATGGAAAGGAAGAAATTACTCATTCCTCTGTTGTGGTAACTGTTCTGCTGCTAGCTTGACCTCTTTAGACGTCCAAGAATGGTAGTGGTAGTTCAAAGTGGTGCAACCCTACAATTGTCACCATGCCATAACTCACAGTGTAGAGAGGTGCTAGGAACTGGTGAGGTATATATATGAGGGAAGTTGCTGCAGTGCTGTCTTATTTGAATGTTGTGGAGAAGCCTTTAGGGCTGCCATAAGTAGATCATGGGAGTTGAGTGGGAAGGCGGCAGGGAGAGGCCACTTTTCACTGCCAGCTCTCACTCTCTTGCTTTTAATATGCTCACTTCTTATGAGCATTTTCAATTCTCCTGCAGCCCCTTGTGCTTGAGAAATGTGCTTCTTTTGCAGGAGCCTTGCTAAGCATCTTTGCTGCTGCTGCCAAGTTTTATAGCCTTATTTATAGTTATGACCTTGACTAGCAATGATTTCACCTAATTTTATGAGTTATCAGCTGGCTGTGAGCATTCTTATGTCTGCTTGGTTTATGCTATTCAGCATGCATTCAGATTAGGTTTCTTCCTGCATTTTTACATGAAGGGTCCAGTGGATTTGGGTTAAATATGCTGCTACTCAACAAGGTTTATTTTAAATCCAAAATTTCACGGAGTCTCCCTATGTTTTGGATTAATTGCTATGTTTAAAATCTCCAGTCTCTAGAAAGAAGCAAGAACATCCTCCTGACCACAGTATTGTAGGGCAGAAAAGGAAGTGAATTAATGTGATTCTCCATCCTCCCAACCTAAATTCCTTGTGTCTCCATTTGACAGTAATCTCTTCTGTTTCTATCAGGATCACTACTCAGCTGGGAATTACACCAAAAGGATTCAAGAAACTCTTGATATTCTGCACAAGGAGGAAAGTACTGTGAAATTATCCCAGCATTCTAGCTCACACTGAGACATGACTGACTAATGCTAGCCCTTCTGTTTGTTTGATTTTGTTGGGCATTTTTGCATTCTCGTACCAAACTGTCCTAGTTTAGGGCAAATTAGGGAGTAAAACTCCAAATGGGGATTTCCTCAGGGAAATGTCCCCTCCCCACCCCTGGTCCGGAAAAGGGAAGAAAAAAAAAAAAAAAAAAAAAA